ATTCAGTTTCGTATGGTTGTAGGGCTGAGGTTGTAGTACTGTTTCCCTGCTGGCTCTTGGCCCCAGTGTCATTCTTTTTTTTTTTGGCCCCAGTGTCTTTTTTTTTTTTTCACCTAACACCCCCCCCTTTTTAATTTAAATTCAAATAGCCAACATATAGTACATAATTTGTGTTTGATGATTCATTAGTTGCATAACACCCAGTGCTTGTCAGATCATGTGCCCTCCTTAATCACCCAGGTACCCCATTCCCCCAGCCCCTTCCCTTCAGTAACCCTCAGTTTGTTTCCTGGAGTCAAGAGTCTCTCATGGCTTGTCTCCCTCTCAGATCTCTTCCCCTTCAGTTTTCCTCCCTTCCTCTGTGGTCCTCTGCGCTATTCCTTATATTCCATATATTAGTGAAAGCGTATGCTAACTCTCTTTCTCTGATTGATTTATTTCATTTAGCATGACACCCTCCAGTTCTATCCATGTAGGTATTCATCCTTTCTGATGGCTGAGTAATATTCCATTGTATGTATGAACCACATCTTCTCTCTCCATTCATCTGCTGAAGAGCTCTAGGGGCCACCCGCATTTCATGCCTCATGGCCCCTTTCAAAGCCAGAAATGATAGGTCAGATTCCTTTTATACTTAAGATCTCTCTGAAGTTTCCTTCTTTCACATTTCTCAGATGTTATCTTTCTCTCTTTTTTATTCTAAAAGATCTTATTTATTTATTTGAGAGAGAGTGCATGGGAGCCGGGGAGGAATGAAAAGAGAAGGAGAGAGAGAATCTCAAGCCGACTCCCAGCGAGTGCAGAGCCTGATGTGGGGCCCAGTCTCACCATCCTAAGATCATGACATGAGCCAAAATCAAGAGTCCAAGGCTTAACTGACTAAGCCACCCAGGCGCCCTTCTCAGATACGTCTTTCTGAACTCCAGCCAAAGAAACCCCCCCCCTTTTAAAAGATTTTATTTATTTATTTAATTGACAGAGAGAGAGAGAGAGACAGTGAGAGAGGGAACACAAGCAAGGAGAGCAGGAGAGGGAGAAGCAGGCTTCCCACTGAGCAGGGATCCAGACGTGGGGCTCAATCCCAGGACCCTGGGATCATGACCTGAGCCGAAGGCAGAGGCTTTCACCCACTGAGCCACCCAGGCGCCCCTGATTTCTATCTTCTTGTTGACATTTTTGGTTTGTTTGAGGCATTGTCTTCATATTTTTCTTTAGTCCTTTAAAGCTGGTTGTTTGTTTAGTTTGGCATTTGGACCTACTCAGAGGCCTTTCCGATTCCATGACTGTTTTTTTCCCCTCTTCAGTTTGGGCCATACTTTCCTGCATCTTTACATGTCTCATAAATTTCTGTTGAAACTAGACCTTTTACATAATACGTTGTAGCAACTTTGGATTCTGATTTGCTTTTCCCTTGGAGGTTTGTTTTGTTTTGTTGCCTGGACTAAATCTGTGGAATGTTTTTCCAGAGTGTGTGGCTACTAATACCTGCTTAGTGTTTTGTGGTTTTTGATTTGTTTTTATTTTTAAGTCTGTCTTCCTGGAATCACACCTGTATCTGTATAGCTTAATGGTCAGTTAGCCACTTCTCAAAGATTGTGCTAATAAGCACATTGAGCTAGTAGGGTTTCCACTTTCTGCCAGTAGATCTTTGTGTGTGAAGGGGAGCTCCTCCAAAATTCAGACATTTATTTAAAAGTCTGCTCAAACTTGTACTTTCCACTGGGCCCTCTCATGTTTTTTCTTTATGTTTTTGCAGGCTCCTTGTGGGTCCTCTCTGGTCTCTATAGTATGGATGGTGAGCACTTATCCTTTATAGCCCTTTTTCCAGATTTCCCTTTCAATTCTGTCTAGTCTGCTGGTCCATTGCAACTATGACAGCATCCTCTGGTCCCTTGTCTTGCTTGTTCATTTGCCACCAAGAAGACATGTTGTTACTGATCATGATTATGGGTATGGCATTCTGTGCTTTGCTTCAAGGCAAGTCAGCCCTCTCTGTGACTGAGGCCGCTGGTTTTTATGGCTTTCCCTACCTTTGTGGAACTACCTTTCCCACTGACCAGGGGGTGATGGGAACAGCCTTGGGCAATAATGCCAGAGAGTCCTGCTCTTCTTACCCCAAATTCAGTAGGTTTTCATGAATAGCCACAGAGAAAGTAGCATTTGAGAAAAGACATGAAAGAGGTGAGGAATTATTTCATGTAGCTATCTAAAGATGAACATTCCTGGCAGAGGGAACACTTTAAGGGCCTGAAGGTGAGAGTATATCTAGGGTATAAAAGGGACAGTGAAGAGGCCGGTATGGCTAGAATGGAGTACCTGAGGGGGAGAGTAGTGGGAAATTACGTCAGACAGGTAAAGAGAGGCAGATAAGCCCTTTTAGGCCACTGGCTTTTACTCTGAATGAAATGAGCTGCTGAGCAGATCTGCTTTGAGCAGCAGAGTTGAGACAGTTCGTCTTATCATTTTAAAAGCAGCTTTAGTGAAATGGAAGCTGAAGCGTGGCAGGATAGAAGACTCAGGATGCTAGTTAAGAGACCATTATAGTACTGATTATAGCAATGCAAGGGAGAAATGATTGTGGCTTAGATGAGGGTAGTAGCGGGAGAGGTAGTGAGAAGTGGTCCAATTCCTTCTGATAGATTGGAGGGGGGCTAGTGAACAGATTCAGATTGCTTATTTCAAGGGAATTTTCCTGTGTCGTATCTGTGAATGCTTTTTTGTTCCTTTTATTGAGTTCTATATTTTTTGAGTTCCTTATATTGATTCTAATTATGCTCATATTGGATCATATTAATCCTCTAATATTATTTTCTCATTGCAATCTCTTTTTTTCTTCTGAAGGCTTTCCTCCACTCCATTCAATTTTTATCTTTTTTTTTGAGGCTCCATGCCCAGCGTACAGCCCAGTGCGGGGCTTGAACTCATAACCCTGAGATCAAGGCCTGAGCTGAGGTCAAGAGTCGAACACTTAACCGACTGAGCCACCCAGTTGCCCTTCATTCTCTTTTCTTTAAGCCGAGGACATGAGGGTAGAGAGGAGCTTGCCATTGAAGAGTTTAATCCTTTGTGATAGATCTATCTAAATTCTGTTCTTCTAAAATCTCATAAAGTGTTGGGGTACCTGGGTGGCTCAGTTGGTGAAGCGTCTGCCTTCAGTTCGGGTCATGATCTCAGGGTCCTGGGATGGAGCCTGGCCTAGCAGGTTTCTTCCTTTTCTTCTGCCCCTCTGCCCACTTGTTCTCTCTCTCTCTTTCTCTCTCTATCAAATAAATAAATAAAACCTTAAATAAAATAAAATTTCATAAAGTGTTTTCTATCACATCCACTCCATCCAGTGATAAATTCCATCTAATTCCATAGGCTTTGGCTGATTCTCCCAATTTGGCTCAATTATCTGAAAGATAGTAAGCCGCAGAGGTTCAGCCAGTCTTTCCTCAAGTCCCATAGTGGTTTGTAGAGAATCTTACTCTTGGAATATGATTGATAACATATTAGTTTCAGATGTAAAATCTAATAACTCAATATTTGTATATATTGCAAAATGATCACCACAGTTAGTCCAGTTAAAATTTCTCACTATACAAATTTTTTTTTCTTGTGTTGAGAACTTTCAAGATCCACTTTCCTAGCTACTTTTAAATATGGAATATGGTATGAACTAGTCGCCTTGCTGTATGTGACATCCCTGTGACTTATTCATTTATAACTGGAAATTGGAATTGTTTGACCCCCTTTACCCATTTTTTCTACTACCCCTGCCTCAGATAACCACCAATCTATTCTATATATCCACAGAGGCTCTTATTCTTGGTGGATTTTTTTTTTTTAAACTTTACCAGGACTGTCTACTTATTCCTTTATTCTCCTCCATTCGTATTGGAAAGTATTTTACATAAGGTTGCTCTCGTTTCCTTCTTGGGTTGCATCTTGTAAAATGTTTCTCCTATCAGGTGTCCAGATATGAGTCCTTTGATCATTCTTTCTTTACCTAGAAATCTTGGTCATATATTTTTTAAAGTTCAGTAATATATGGGAAAAAATGGCGTTTGTATCTTTACAGCTTGCTTCCTGCACTATTGACTAATTGAAATTTTGCTGTTTCCAGTTTTTCTTATTAAAATTCCTTTGTGCTTTCCCCATTCACCCACCCCCCCCCTTCCCTAGTTTTCTTCCAGTGTATTTGAGCTGGAAAACATGAAGCGAGGTTAGATACAGGAAACTCTAGAGGCAGAAAAAAGACCCTTGATTTGGGCAGGAAGGGCAGGTGGTAAGAAAGATCTTATTAGGGAGTGATAAGCGGTAGTAAGATTTTTGAGATAGATAAAAAAGATAAGAGTAAGACAACTTCTTTCTGCACTAAGAAGATGGTCTGATTTTAAGATTAAAGTTTCTTTTTTTTTTTTTAAACATTTCATTTATTTATTTGACAGAGAGATCACAAGTAGTCAGAGACACAGGCAGAGAGAGAGGGGGAAGGCAGGCTCCCCGCTGAGCACAGAGCTGGATGCGGCCTTGATCCCAGGACCCTGAGACCGTGACCTGAGCCGAAGGCAGAGGCTTAACCCACTGAACCACCCAGGCGCCCATAAAGTTTCTTTTTCTTTTAACTCCAGTATAGTTAATATACACTGTCACATTAGTTTGTATGTATGATGTATGATAGAGTGACTCAGCAGTTTCATACCACACATGGCGCCAATCACAAGTGCCCTCCTTAATTCCCATCCCCTATTTCATTCATCTCCCACCCACCTCCCCTCTGGTAACTGGCAGTTTGTTCTCCATAGTTCAGAGTTTTCTTGGTTGGGTCTCTTTCTCTAAGATTAAAGTTTCTTATGGAGCAAAATATTGTTTTTTATGACTACATTCTTTCTAGAGAACTTTTGTTTTAAGAGCTAGTTTTGTTTAGAAAAAACACAAAACCTGTGGGTATCTGTTAGAAATTTTGTACAGATAGCTGTTACTGTAATAGTGAATGTATTTGTGTGTTTTCCCTCCAGAATCTCCCTGGGGAAAGAGACATGAATGTCTGCAATGATATTTCCTGACAAGAAGTTCATATAAGAGAAGGAAAGGAGATCAACAGCTAGTGAGCAGAATTTCAGATAACCACGATTTGGTATTTATCACCTCCAACTGCAGACTTCCGTTGCCTACTTTTAAATCAGAGATAACTACAGTCAAAACCCAGACAAGGCAGAAGGATACTTCCATCTGTAGTTTTTGAGATCAAAGAAACCACAATGTCTAGGAAACAAAACCAGAAGGGTAAGATTACATGTGGGCATAAATTATTAAAAGCATAGTTGTGAAATAATGATCTATATATTTTTAAAAGGTTCTCTTTAATGTATTTTGAACATTTACATTTTCCCTTACCCAGTGTGGTACTACTGATAGGTATAATTTATCTCTTTGTCTCGACTGCAATTAATTTTAGAACATTCACAACTTTATCTGTTGTCTCTTTAATTATCTAAGTTGTGGATATTAGATTGTAGTTTTGTGTGTTACTAGTTTGGGAGCTAATTCATATAACAGTTGCTTTTCTCCTTTTATAAACGTACTAAATTGGAATATATTTACAGGAAAGCCAACTGCATCCAGAAAATACACTCTCTGGGGTGTGAACATATGTTGGGGGCATGGTGGGAGATAACTTCCTGCAGGATATTCTATATCCTGTGAGTTGATGTTTTTTTCATTGGAGACAGGAAATGAAGCAAGAGTAAATGTTTCCAGTTTTCAATTCCTTCTTTAGCTTTCCTTCCGGTATTATTACTCTAGCTTCTTGTCTAAAGTGAAATATAAGATACAAGGAATTAAGAAATACCAAGAATAGTTTCAAGAAGGGCAAAGACAATAAAGATTATAAAATCACTTTTCCACCTTTTTTAGAGAGGTACAACAATGCAAAGGGACAAATTAAGCAGTAGCACTTGAACTATTACACATAACTGGAATATATTTGTTAAAAGAATGACCAGAGCTATCCTGGCTTTTTTCCCCCTCATTGAATTTAATTTTCAATTTAAAGTTAATGTTCTTTAATTCAGAACCATGGTGTAGATCCAGGTGTCATGTGTTAAGTATGAAGGGAAATGCTTTTAAACTTAATTTTGACTTGGTAACTCACACACCTCTTTTTAAGAAAATAACATGCCAGAGCTGCTTGTGGTTTTGAAAGTATGTAGTTACTGTACTCATTGTATAGTAAATATGTATAAAGGGAATCTGAGTTCTAAGGAGTGATTATATTACTAAAGAACTGTTTTATAGAATAAGATTATCAACTAAAAAGTTTTTATAACCAAAGTTTGTTTCTTCTTAATCCTCGTGATTCAGTTTGCTTTCTTCCCAGTTACGTTCGAAACATTATCTGTTTTCCTCCAGAAATGAGAAATACTATAGTAAAAATAGGACTCCAGACTTTAAGATAAAACAATTTCATCTAAAAAGTTTAGCACTTGGGACACCTGGATGGCTCAGTTGGTTAAGCAGCTGCCTTCAGCTCAGGTCATGATCCCATGTCGTCCTGGGATCGAGTCCCACATTGGGCTCCTTACTTGGCAGGGAGCCTGCTTCTCCTTCTGCCTCTGCCTGCCACTCTGTGTCTGCCTGTGCTCACTCTCGCTCTCTCTCTCTCTTTCTGACAAATTAAAACAAAACAAAACAAAACAAAAATAAAAAGTTTAGCACTTAATTATTCCTTAAAAGGTTGACTTCAGCAGAATGCTTCGACCTTGTTAAAACTGGAGTCTTTAATTTGTGTCTGTATTGCCAGAGCTGTAACAAGGATTCTTTGCTTTTTGTAATTGGTATTTAATTACTTTATATAAAATGAATTTGAGGGGCACCTGGGTGGCTCAGTGGGTTAAAGCCTCTGCCTTCAGCTGGGGTCATGGTCCCAGGGTTCTGGGATCGAGCCCCATATGGGGCTCTCTGCTCCACGGGGAGCCTGCTTCCTCCTCTCTCTCTGCCTGCCTCTCTGCCTACTTGTGAATTCTGTCTGTCAAATAAATAAATAAAATCTTAAAAAAAAAAAAAAAGAATTTGAATTTTTGACCATATCATAGGCATTAAGTGCTAACAAATTTTGATTGAACATAGTCTGGATTTACATGTAGTTGGAAACAAAAGAAAGTTTATTTGTTGTTAGGACTTTTGCTGAGATAAAGCTATATATATAATGTAGTTGAACAAAAAAGTACAAAGTACTTATAAAAGTGTGGAGAGAAGCATTTAGTCTCTCACTGTTAAGTACGATGTTCGTTGTAGGGTTTTCGTAGATGCCCTTTATCAGTTTGAGGAAGTTCCTTTCTATTCCTGTTTTGCTGAATTTTTACATGACTGGGGTGTTGGGATTTTTGTCAAATGTTTTTTTCTGCATTTATTTCAATCCTCCTCAAACAGGGATGATTTTGCCCCTTTGGGGATGTTTGCCAATGTCTGGGGACATTTGTGGAGGTCCCAATTTGTGGGGGCAGGGTGCTACCGGCATCTAGTGGGTCTAGCCCCAGGTGCTGTAAACATCTACAATGCACAAGACAGCCCTCCACAGCCAAGAATTGCCTGATCCAAAGGTCAATACTGCTGAGGAAACCCTGGTCTATTAATATAATCATGTGATTTTGTCCTTTATTAATATAGAAGATTAAAGGGGATAAACAATCCCCATTCCTGGGATAAATCCCGTTCGGGGGGCACGTGGGTGGCTCAGGCGGTTAAGTGTTTGCCTTTGGTTCAGGTCCTGATCCCAGGGTCCTGAGATCAAGTCCCACATTGGGCTCCTTGCTCTGCGGAGAGCCGGCTTCTCTCCCTGCCTCTGCCTCTGCCTCTCTCTCTCTTTCTCTGTCTCTCATGAATAAAATAAATAAATCCTATTTGGTCATTTTTTATGTTACTGGTTTCTGTTTGCTAATATTTTGGTACAAATTTTTAAAACTTATATCATGAGGGATATCAGTCTGTAGTTTTCTGTTCTTGTGATGTATTTGTCTAGTATATGATTTATCCTGGAAGGTGCCATGTATGCTTGAAAAGAATGTGGATTGATCTATTGTTGGGAGAGTGTTCTATATATGTTAGATCAAGCTGGGTGATTATGATGTAAGTCGTCTATATCCTAACTTTCTGTTCAATTGTTCTGTCATTTACTAAGAGAAAAGTATTGAATATTCAGCTGCAATTGTTGAATTGTGTATTTTTTGTTTCTGTTTTGTCAGTTTTTAATTTATATATTTGGGTATTCTTATTAAGTATATACATTTGTAATTTTTATCTTGATAGATTAATTTTCTTATGAAATATTCTTTGTCTCTGGGAATATATCTTTGAAATTTTAATTTTTCTGATATTAATATAGTAGTTCCAACTCTTATACTTACTGTTTTCAGGAATTATCGTTTTTATCCTCTTTCCATTCAACATTTAATGTATTTATCAGCATGATTGGGTTTATGCCTGCTATTTGCTATTTTCTTTCTTTTTTTTTAATTTTATTTATTTATTTGATAGATCACAAGTAGGCAGAGAGGCAGGTAGAGAGAGGGGAAGCAGGCTCCCTGCTGAGCAGAGAGCCCGATGCGGGACTCGATCCCAGGACCCTGAGATCATGACCCCAGCCGGAGACAGCAGCCCAACCCACTGAGCCACCCAGGCGCCCTGGGTATTATATTTTCAATTAGAATTTCTTTTTAGTTTTATCTTATAGTTTCTGTTTCTCTGTTGAGATTGTGTATTTGTCAAGTCAGTATGACTATATTTTCCTTTAATTCCTTGAATATATTTTTATTAGTTGTTTTGAAGTTTTTGTTGGTTAAGTCCACCAACTTGTGGACCCTTTCAGAGTCAGTTTCTATTGATTGGTGGTTTTCCTATGTATGAATCTTTCTTTCTTGGCTTTTTTTTAAAGTGGATAATTAAGGTAATATATTAACTCCTCATTCTTAATTTATTTTCTTGAGGGTATTTTAAAAATAGTCAGCCATCAAAAGAAATGAAATCTTGCATTTGCAACCATGGATGGAACTAGAGGGTATTATGCTAAGTGAAATAAGTCAATCAGAGAAAGACAATTATCATATGATCTCTCTGATATGAGGAATTTGAGAAGGCAGGGCCAGGGCTTGTGGTGGGTAGGGAAGGAAAAAATGAAACAAGATGGGATCAGGAGAAAGACAAACCATAAGAGACTCTTAATCTCACAAAACTGCTGGGGGTTGGGGAGGGTAGGGATAGGGTGATGGACATTGTTGGGGGGTATGTGCTATGGTGAGTGCTGTGAAATGTGTAAGCGTGATAATTCACAGACCTGTATCCCTGGGGCAAATAATACATTATATGTTAATAAAAAAAAATAATTAGCCTGGACATAAACTGAGGCATCTACCACTCTACCTGTCCCATATGTACATCACAAATCTATCTGCACAGTTTTTTTATTTTAATCTTAATTTTTTATTTTTGCTTTTAGGGATTGTCCCTGTGTCTGCAGTGTTTATTAGTCAGCCAATGATTTGGACTGAGCTTTTGCTAAATATCTCAAATACATAAGCTTTTATCTTCTGCTGATTGAACTATGTGGGTTGAGGAGGACATTCAAAGTTCAGGCAGTTCTTTTCTTTCTTTCTTTTTTTAAAATTTAATTTAATTTAATTTTTTTTCAGTGTTCCAAAATTCATTGTTTATGCACCACACCCAGTGCTCCATGCAATTTGTGCCCTCCACAATACCCACCACCAATACCCACCCCCCCTCCAAAACCCTCAGTTTGTTTCTCAGGGTCCACACTCTCTCATGGTTTGTCTCCCCCTCCGATTTCCCCCAACTCACTTCTCCTCTCCATCTCCCAATGTCCTCTGTGTTATTCCTTATGCTCCACAAGTAAGTGAAACCATATGATAATGGACTCTCTTGATTGACTTATTTCACTCAGCATAATCTCTTCCAGTCCCATCCATGTTGATATAAAAGTTGGGTATTCATCCTTTCTGATGGAGGCATAATACTCCATTGTATGTGTAGACCATATCTTCTTTATCCATTCATCTGTTGAAGGGCATCTTGGCTCTTTCCATAGTTTGGTGACTGTGGCCATTGCTGATATGAACATTGGGGTACAGATGTTCCTTCTTTTCACTACATCTGTATCTTTGGGGTAAATACCCAGTAGTGCAATTGTAGGGTCATAGGGTAGCTCTATTTTTAATTTCTTAAGGAATCTCCACACTGTTTTCCAAAGTGACTGCACCAACTTGCATTCCCAC